CTCCGGCTTGTTTTTAAATTCACAGACCTGTTTGTTAAAATCCGTTTAGCCTCTAAGGCAGGTCTGTCTCCATGACAGCTGTGTCTTGCTGTATCCACAGTTTCATTTCTAAGTGGGCAGGAGCTGCATGCACTCTGACATACCATTGAAGGGCCTTATGTTTAAAATGTGTCCCCTTCCCAAATGCTGCACCATCTATACTCTAAGAAAGTTCCCTTTCTAGCAGATATTGAAAATGGGAAATACTGATGACAGTCCTCAGATTAAAAAAGACAAAATATTTCCATATTCTGCCATTTTGGGCTTGGGCTTTTTGGAAATATTTCCATATGATTTATAGGAATTTAATACAAATAAATAAATTTATATGCATTTAATAATAAACTCATAGATTTAGGCAGCACCAAGATTATAAACTCCAGTGGTTATTTTGCTCTAGTGTCAATGAGCTATTATAGGCAATAATGAAAAAAGTAATAATGGACTTGGTTCTTAATTCAATCGGACAGTTCCAATCAGACACCATCAGGCACTGTAAACTGATATTTGTTGAATGACCAGACTAATTTGCGGCCTTGCTTGAGCTGTTATTCATTTCAGATGGCGTGCATATTAATATGGTGAAATGTTGGAGTGTGGTGTTTAGAAGCAGACATTGCAGAACGCGGTTTTCCAAGTTAAAGCGTTAGTAAAGGGATTAATGAGCTTTGTCCTGATTGGACATGTGCAAGATGCTCAGCTCAGGCTTGACTGACTTTTGGCAAATAGAGAGCTGCTTGGCTTGTTTGGATTGTGGTTCATAGGTGGTGCAGTGAAGTGGGAGAAAGCTTGTCAATGCCTCTGTTGTGATGCATATGGCTAAAGGCAAGTGGGAGGAGAATGTTTAGTTGAATAGCTTGGAGAGCTGTGATCTTTAATCTCAGGATCATAGGGCCATTTCCTCTTCAACTCCAAAGAAACTATTATTCCCGCACACATGATGGTGGATGTATGTATAATGTATAGTCTGGTGGTGGCCATTTGTTTCAGCTGCCTTGTTGCCCCCACACTCCTATAATATCTATTGGAGCTGCCCAATGATCTGGGCTCATGTAGAGTCTTAACCATCCCACAAGACACTGCTGCAACAGCAAAGGTAGGAGCTGTGATTTAATCACCAAGTCAAGAAGAAAAAAGGACAGTATATTCTAACACACTGAATGTAATCAATCCATCCCAAGCTGACTTTTCCTATTTATGTTTGCATGTCTGCTGGCATAGAAGCTTGATGTTATTACACAGCGGAGGATTCCTAATTAAGTTACTACTTCAGCTGCTTTTGTGTTACAGAATGTGGAAGCAGGCTGCAGCCGAACAGGGTTTAAATGTACAACCTTTTGCTCCATAAAATATTCTCTGCCATTTGCTATCCATGAACTCATACATCATAGTTTCTTTTGGCTAGTAAAGAATCATGCATCCTAGGGGGAATCTTTTCAGTGCTCATTGGTTTAATGACATTAATTTAAATACAGCCTTGTAGCCAAAGAATGACATATGCTACATTAACTTCCGATCCAATTGTGTGGTATCTTAAAGGTAGCAACTAAACTGTTTCCTTTTTTTCTGAAAACCTTTATCTAAATCTAACTTTATGGAAACAAATGTCAGGAAAAATTAAATTTTGTGAAGTTTATAAAATTGCAAACCTCTGTATAGCTAAGCATGCTGTAGTTGCAGAGTACAAAGATTTTTGAGATGAGACATACTGTACATGAGCCGTCTCCCAAACATTTCAGTAAAGGGGACAGTGGTAATTAATAGGAGAAATCCTATCATCTTATTTGCTGGGCCATTTGTGCTTTTGATTTTGGAATAAACCGTCTCTAACTAAAGAAACCTAGAGCTGAAGGAGTTCACAGCATGTTAAAATAAAGAGGAAGAAAGCAAGTACATTTTTAAAATCTCTTAAGAATTCAATAAACACCGTTGTTTTGCTGTTCATAGATGAGGCACAGTAGCTCTAAGCAGCCTTATCCTGTAATTATCCCGTAATTACTTTCTCTGTCTTTCTATTCTATCCAGTCCAGGGTCATGGTGGAGCCTTAGGCAATCCCAGGATGCAGCAGGTGCAACCCGTTGTCTGTTACCAATCCTGAGGTGATCAAAGGTCTCATTTCTGAATTGATAGGTTCAGTGATTGATCAGTTCCTATCAGTGGGATAGTAGTCTTTGGGGGATTGCCCTTCTAGAGACATCTTAGTTTAAACCACCTCCTTCGATCTTTAAACCAAGTTATTTAAAATACCTAGGAATATTAAGAACAGGTTTTTTTTTATTTGTGTTTCATTAATATTCAAATAGGCCAATTTGTCCGTACCATAGTGTGTCATTTTGTTTTAGAAAAATGGTTTGTTTTATAGCAGGTATGATAATTATACGTATTTTGGTCCCTGTGCATTGATCTGGCTGTCCCAAGAGGTGTTGTGTTTTTAACTGATAAGTAAGAAAAACGATTAATCTAGCCTTGGAATGGCAGAAACTTTCTATTTCAGACTGACTTAGGGGATTGGTCATATTTTTTTTTGTCAATTCAGGAGAAGCTGAGGTGATATTTCTGTATATCAATATCCTGATAGCATCCGGGCTGTGAAGCAGCCCCCTCATTGCATTGTGGATTCAAACTTGAATGTGTGCCAGACTGACCTTTTAGCTGCAGCTTGTTTGTTTGTTCTACAAAGTGCAGAATTTGTGCAGTGATGAGAGCAGAAATGAAGGTTTGTATTATTTCTTTATTCACTATAAACATGACCTGTAAGATCATGCTTTCCTCCCTTTTATACTTTTCCTCTTTTTATTTTTCCATTTTAGATTTTGCACACTGCAGAGTGCTGGGCTTCATTTTTTTACACTAGTTTTAGTTTGGTTTCGTCTTTGCATCTTTGGAACCAGAGGATAACAGTAGGCCTATCATTGTTATTTGAAACTAATTGACTTTATGATGTGTTTTGAAGTAAATGCTCATATCTGTGAAATGCTTCATTGCGGTCTTCTGCACATTGGTGATTGTTTTAACAACAACACACATTCTCAGCTTGTGCAATAAATATGATTAGTTTAAAATACATTAACGCCTGGGTGGCACAGTTGGAATCAATCTGAAATTGCCATGTCATTGGAGTGAATGTGGTACATTAAATAAGAAAGCTATACTGGTTAGATTAATATTTGGCTTTTGAGAAATCAGTCAATGTTTTGTATTGACAATTGATATGTTAAAAATGCCAAGGCAACACATTTCTAATATTGTGTACTATGCGCCTCAATATGTCAGTTTTCGTTTTTTATTCTCTTTTTCATAACAACAAAAGAAATGTAATTGGGATGAAGATACATTTCAGTAATGCTCCTTGAGAAGAGCTGAAGCTAGTGTTCTGTTCTGTATAAGCAGCACATAAAGCTAAGGTAATAGATTAGACTTGTAAGAATTAATAAGTTCTCCAAAAAGATTTTTCCTTTTCATTTACTGAACTTAAGGTCAGATTAGACTGTTACTACATTTTTTTTTGAATCGTGAATTATCTTTGTTCACATCTGGTTTAAAATAGCCAACTGTTTTCATATCCTGGCTTGCGTGTATGAACTTCACAGCCACACACAGGAGAGAATGTGGAAGTTTAGACTGACTCCTCTGACCTGCCCAGTATCTATCACTGTCCCAGGTTCAATGCTGAGAGCCATTATCAACAACACTGTTTGCTTACAAGCACCCAGGACACCCCTGGGGTCTTTGTGTTGCTAAGAACTGAGAGAGTTCTGGCTGTCACCCTAACCTCCCTGGGATTCAGTCATTTGTGCTGTGCCACCCTGGGAACCCTACTTACAGTCAGCTCATAACCATAGAGCTCATTCTGTGCTTGAGTAATCACCTTTACACAGTTGGGCCATTCAGGAAGATGAGCTGTTACTACAGTATATCAATCGCATTTCCACAGCGATGTACTTATCAGCGCAATGAAAAAAAATGTGTTTAAAAGAGATAGTTTTGCATTTAAACAAAAATGTTATTTGCGTTTAAACTAGATAATTTTATGTTTAAACAAGATAGTTTTGCATTTAAATGAGATAATTCTGTCTTTAAATTTGATTCTTACAATACATGATATACTGTAACAACAAGACTCTCTTCATAAATACAGTTTATCACTCTGTTGACTACTGCTTGTGTACCCTATTGGGGTTGTTTTCCATTTTGTTTGAAGAGATGTGATGCCTGTATCTCTTCTCATTTTCTATATTCCCTATATTTTGCTGTGTAATTCCAAATTCAAATGTATTTGATGTGAGCATATGTGAAAAACTTTTGATGTTTCTGTGCTTAAAGATTCAATGATTGGCCAACAGTAACATAACAGTAAATCAACAGTAAGTGTAACTGTCAAATACTGTGTAATATGTTTAAAGATTAGAGAAAAACACATGTGCAGTACATGTTTCTGCACTTTCACATGTGTTTGTAAAGCCGTGTCATTTCTGCTTTTCACAGAAATGGTGAAAAGGGCATGCGTTTAGCCCAGGAATGCTCACTGACAGGCTGTACTGCTTCATGTACAGTATACAAAAGACAGTACTCATGCTCCTTTAGATTAACTCTTTTGCACAGAGATGAGTGTGGCCATATTCTTCTGCTGTTAAAGACAGTTTTACCTTCCTTGGGACAAAATGATTGCATATATACTGCAAGATATAAATATATAAGGCTATATTGTTTATTAATTATCGTGTTGAAATGCCAAAAGTATCTTGATAAAATGTAATATTATCTTATTTTTTTCCAAAACTCTCAGTGGTGCTGATTAGCTTCCGTAGAAATGACTATCGTTGGAGTAGTTGGACAATATGGGCCCAACCGGAGAGTCGGGAATGGGTCACAATATTATTTCATGCTCCCACAGGAGGTTTTTGGGCCACTCAACTAGCTTTACCTAATTTTGCTTCCCACCATCCTGGTTTCTCCACAGATGCTAAGGCCTGTCCCCCCACCGAGTTCCGGTGCCGGAACCGCAAGTGCCTGGCCGCCATGTTTGTGTGCGACGGGGACGATGACTGTGGCGACGGCAGCGACGAGGAGAAGTGCTCGGCCCCCAGCTGCGGCCCCCTGGAGTTCCGCTGTAACTCCTCGGCCTGCATCCCCAAGCTGTGGAGCTGCGACGGGGACCCGGACTGCCCGGACAAATCGGACGAGTCCGTGGAGCTCTGCGGCCACAAGACGGAGCCGGAGAAGCCCAGCTGCAGCAGTGGAGAGTTCCTCTGCGCCAGCGGGGAGTGCATCCACCTCAACTGGAAGTGCGACGGAGACGCCGACTGCAAGGACAAATCTGACGAGGCCCACTGCCGTAAGAGCTCACCGTTTCGGGCAACGGCTTTGGAATTTGCCAGAACTCATAAGTTTTTAAACATTTAAGGGGTCTTTTGTTTTTATATGGAATTCAAGCTTTAGTTGGAAAACAAAGACAAAATTGGTGCCTCCCAATGAATGGCATTAGAAGCCTACCTTTCTTTTTTGAAGTTCAATTCAGATTCGCTAAGATGTTGAAAAGGCAAGGTTTTCATTGTAGTATGAACATATACTATTTATTAAGGCTTTGTGTTAAAAGAAATAGATGTTATTTTTCCTTGAAGGACAGTCTTTGGATATGCATTAAACTGCGAAACCAAAAAAAGGGGAAAGCCTGTTCCCTTGTGCTGACTTTCCGCTACCGGTTTAATGTGTTTCGACCTTAGAAACTATTACTGCCCTTCAATCTAAAACATCAATATTTATATACTGTATAGCTCTGAATGAACATAGATAAACTCTGCTGCTGTTAACAAGATCTATGAGTATAAATTGAGAGGTAAATGACAGTTTCTCTTCTCAGTGAAGAATCCCAAGTGTGTTTCCTGAGACGTGCTGCAGGTTAGTCCTTGGGTGGTGGAGTAACCCATACAAACAGATAGTCACAATGATCTTGCAGCAGCAGCATCCCAGAAAAGCACACAAGTGTTTAAGTGTTGCTAAGCAACCATTTGATGTCCTGGAACATTTAAGAGCTCTTCAATAAAAGGGTAGGTCGAGTTCAGCTAGAGCTTGGGCGAAAGAATTCTTCAGGCTAGCTCGGCCTGCAATGCGTGTGTTGTTTCCAGTGTTACTAATGGGAAGCAGATGATCTCTATCTGTAATTTGAAATGAAAAGTTGCAGCAAAAGTAGTGAGAATAATGATGTGCTTTTCCTCCCATGTGGGAAATAACAATAAGATTAAAATTTGATTCATCAGACGCTCGTGGTGGATTTTTCCTAATTTATAAAATATAATATTATATTTAATATATAACAACATTTCCAGGTGCTTCACTACCGCCGCTGTCAGAGAATCTGCAGATAATGCTGAATAAATCATCTGTTATGGCTTAAATATTACTTTTCCAGTATATTAAATTTAGTAGTGAGCTGCTCACACAGGTTAAGAGGCAATTATCTGAAGGGTTTTTTTATTACATCAAAAGAATGTAGTCTGGGGGTGGACAGATTATACTGTACATCGCTTTAGACAAACCAGTGTTGAAAATGGAATATTGAAAATCATGCGTCATTCAGATTTGGTTAGCAGATATCCTTAGTTCTTCATTTTTGTATTCCCGTGACATTTCTGAGCAATCCTGATATGCAGCATTAAATCTGTCAGGTGTAAGTCTCACACTGTGTGTGTGTGTGGGGGGGTTATTAAAAAAGCACCAGTCTTCACCAGGCCATTCTGTTTTCAGTTTTTCTGTCCAGGGATTTACTTATTTATTTTCACTGTGATGTTTGTTTTTCATTATAAACATAGGTCATTTTTTCTTGTTTCTATAAATGAAACCATTATCAAATAGATTTTCCCATTTATTTTTCCCGAACACAAATTGCATGAATTGTGAGATCCCCTCTCCTCAGCAGGCTATGTGTGAAGTGATAATTTCATCCTCATTCTAGGGTTCAGCAATCCATGCACAAAATGCACTTATTATCTTATGTGTCTAACGATAAAGATAAATGAATGGAATACACAAACAAATAAGCTACTTTAATTTCCGTTTTTTCCAATAGATATCTATGAAATCAAATTTCATTATTATTCATTTTTATTATTATTGATCTGGAGTGTTCCTTGTTTTTATTCTTTATTATCTATAAATTTACACTATGTGAGCAAATGCAAAAGATAACAGTTGATAAACTAATTACCTTTGCTTTAATGTTTTACTTAAGTTGGTACAGTATGTTTATGTGTTTGGATATATTGGGAATTTGTCCTTTAATGTTCCAGCCTTGGTGACGTGCAGGCCTGACCAGTTCCAGTGTGGAGATGGCTCCTGTATTCACGGCATGAAGCAGTGCAATAAGGTGCATGACTGCTCGGACTTCAGCGACGAAGCTGGCTGTGTAAATGGTGGGTGTCTTTCTAACAGACTTCTTTCCATGTCTAATGAGCAAGCCTTCTGGTGCAAGATCACATCTCAAGAGCAGCAATCTTGCTGAGCAGTTTGGGTCTTTTGGCAATGCCAATTGGAACTGATGATCCAAGTGAAATCCTCATCTTGATCCTCGCATCCGTACGAATTACTAGTTGCTTCAAGGAGGCATATTCTGTATCAGTAATATTTTTTATTTTATATTATGCCTTTCATTACCCACTATCTCAAAAGACTTTCCAATTATCCTGACTTGCAGGATATAACATGGGATGGAGGATCATTCCAGAACTTTGGGGCAGCAAAATACAAAAAGCTTTATCTCCCAGTGTTCAGAGCATAGTTTTACAATACACGAGAAGGTCAGAGTCCAATGATCACATGGGACATGTTTAGGGAATTAACAATTGCACAAGGATGGGCAGCTGTAAATCACTAGTAACCACTAGTAACCATGACATGAACTATTTTAGTTATATGCAATTAGGTTGAAATGGTTCTTAAAGTTAAGTTGTAGCTGAATAACACCACCCCTTTCTAGAACGTTTGCAAAATGTGGCAATTTAGATATTGGGTGGTACCAAGTAAGTTGGAGGCTGAAGGTCTGGTTTTTCAACAGAGCCATAATCACTGCTAGTTTAATAACTAAGGCAGCAATTTCAGCTCAATGACTCATTCATGATGTGTGACAGTAGGACAGAGAATGTAACTGGCAGCAAGACAGTGGCAGTAGGATTCAAGGAACATGAGAGGTATTTATGATCAGTTTCTTTTTTCTGGTAATTGCAAATATCAGCTGAGGTGAGACAGTGGACACGCTACAAAGTTTTAAGGTACACTGAAACTAAAAGTACATAAAACTGTGCTCGGAATTGGAATAAAGAGATCTAGTATGACTTCAGATGTCAGACTTCAGTTTTTGAGAGCAATAACTCAGAAAATCAGGTCCGCAGACTCATCAAGACTGGTGTTCCTAAATTTTAAAAGATAAATAATTGTGGAAATAGGAATCTAGGATTACTCCTTCCGTCTTCTGTTAAGCTTCCTGAAAATGCTGACCTAGGAATCATCGGTGCATTACTATGGGATTGTTCGTGTTGCCCTAAGGCAAAAAAAGTAACAGATAGGCTTACAGTAAATCTCTCCATTCGTTCAAATCCTTCCCTATTTTCATATTTATGCCCAAGACATTTGATAGAATAAGGTTAGCTGTTTAATAGGAAGCCGCACAGTGGGGCCTTGGTTAGCATTGCTGCCTTGTAGCTCTGGGACCCTGGGTTTGATTCAAGACCTTGGAATTTGTGGAATTTGTTCTCTCTGTGTTCACGTGGGTTTCCTCTGGGTGCTCCAATTTCATCCCACTGTCCAAAGCTAGTAGGTTAATTGGCTTCCGGGAAAATTGGTCCTAGGTGTAAGAGTGTGTCTGTTTGTCTCTTTGTGTCTGTACTGCAATGGACTGGTGTCCTGTCCAGGAAGAAAAGGGTAGATTAATGGATGGATGGCTTAGCTGTTTAACCAAAGGGAAAGATGTGGAAATGAGATCTACTGTCATCTCTTCCACTACAGCAACTAAATGTGAAGGACCCACGAAGTTCCAGTGTAAGAGTGGAGAATGCATTGACAGCACCAGAGTATGTGATTCTCAAAAGGACTGTAGGGACTGGTCTGATGAACCCATCAAAGAATGTGGTAAGTATTGTCTTTATAATTAGCATTAATATTAACAGCAAAGTCTTGAAGTACAGTCCCACCTTAAAAACAAAAGAAACGTTAAATGATCAAGAGAAGCTTTGTATGGTCCACCATGGCCACTACTTTCACTACACTAGGTTCTTCCTTATTTGTAATCACTGCTTTGTACTGTAATCCTAGCTTTTTAATGACAAAAATACAACTATATACAATGCTGGATAAAATATATGTATTTTTTCATGTAAGTTCCATTTATTCCAATTGATTTGTTGCCATCTTTCATTAATGATTTGAGAAGAGTTGTCCTCATCTTGTGCCATATAAAGGATTATATCGATGAGTGAGTTGCTGTTTTGTACACCAGACTGTCTCCTTGTGTTCTGCACACTGAGTAATTCCAGTGTGGAAATTAGATATATATATATAATTTATTCTAGAAGGGTCAGGTTGTGTTTTGAGCATCCCTTCCTCTGCCCTTTTCTTAATATCTACTCATTTCATTTCACACCTATTTAAACTTTAATATATAATACACAATTATGTACCAGTGTTGGTAATCATTAATTTCCCTTCAGTGTTCTGGATGTATTCTCTCCATTCAGAAAAATACCTGCCTTATTGTAGATGAACTCCTGCTGTGCTTTGTATTTTCTGGAAAATATGATGTGTCTTATTTTATGGTTATAGAGAGAAACATGCCTCAGAGCAGGGGGATTATGTTACAAAAGCAGATCTGCATTTCAGAAATAAAAAATATGTGATTTGGAATCCTTTGAAAACTGTGTCTATCTACTACAATAACCTCATGGGTCTTACTACAGCTTTGGCAGACAGTTCCCCATCAGTCTCTGTAGCAGCAAATTAGGCCCAATGCTGTTTTTTTTGTTTGTTTCATATATTGCTAAGGCATTTGTGCAACCTGTTAAATCTTAAAACTTTGGCTTGCTAGATCTAATGAAAAAAATCATGCAGCCAAGAAATATTAAAAGTAACATGATGACTTTGAACTTTCAGATTTTGTGCAAGCAATATTAGTGCTGCCACAAAGAGAACACGGATTTTAATTTAGCATCTTTCAGAAGGTGTTGCAGATGTGTAGAAGCCATATTAATATAGTTTATTTGATGACAACAGGAAATGAAGTGCATTTATTTTTGTGTTCTGCTATAATTAAAAAATGTAAGAGGTTATTGCCTTTGTAACTGAAGTTAATGCAGGTCCAATAGTGAAACAAGAACCTGAGGAATCCAATTGCGAATAAATACATTTAAGACTGAGAACTGGAAGTACTTTCTTTGATCATTAAGGAGCTATCAACTATATATAGTAAGCACATCTAGGTCGAATGCCTTTCCGTAGATTGTAACTAGTCTCATGATCTAAAATAATACAATATCTAAATACTAACCAAGAAATAAAGAACAACACTGGTATAGAAATAATGTACATACTAGATGTAAATGTTAAGGTAGATCAAATGTCAAATCAATTAACACAAATTAAATGCTTCTTTTTTGTTTAAGGAGGTTGAACTTGGTGTGTGAAGGATTGATTTTGGGCTTGAATAATATATGAGAATCCCCATGTTCCATCACAAAATCCTAGTCATCAGCCCTGGTCTCTTAGAAACACTGTATTTAAGTGTCTTCCAAAACATAGAAAATAACATCTATACCTTGAAGGGACAGGCCTTTCATCTCTGGAACCACCTCTGGGGACACTGGGTTGCATAGAACTCATCACTTGCACATAATCTGTTAGCACTGCATTGTAGCCAGTATTCTTTCCTGTCTGTCCGTTGCTCTTGGTGCTTCTTGCAAGCATAAACAAGCTGATTGTAGTGACCTCTGACCTCCTCCTTCCCTGGCCAGGTTTAAATGAATGTGAATCTAACAATGGCGGCTGCTCCCATATATGCACAGACCTCCGGATTGGCTACATATGCGAATGCCCCACGGGATACAAGCTCCTGGACAAGAAGACGTGTGGAGGTAATTGTCATGCAGGCAGCACATGCCCTTTGCTGTTCAGAGTGTTCAAAACAAAGGCTGTAGCCCTGGTCACCCTGTCGTCTCCCCCTGCCAGCAGGATCATACTGCTGTTATTGATGTGTTTCAAATGTCCCTTTGCAGACATAGACGAATGTGAGAAGCCAGATGTATGCAGCCAAATCTGCATCAATTACAAAGGAGACTACAAGTGTGAATGCTACGAGGGCTACGAGATGGACCCAGTAACCAAGACGTGCAAGGCAGTGGGTGAGGCATCCCAAATGCCAGTACAGCTGCATGATAATACTGAGGCCCTTTCTCTTTCAGGCTAAAAATTAATTAACTTGCTTTGCACACAGCATTTACATAATGACTGGAGTTGAACAAATATTTGCCTTTTCACAGCAGGCATGCTTTGAAAGCAAAATGGGTTTTACAATTGAAAGGTTGGAGTTTGGGGTTGGTGAGCCCTTGTACTACACCCGTAGATATTAAGTCATGATATGTGAACATGCATTAGGGCAAACGACTTCCATTTGCATTACATCTCTATTCTGTTAAAGAGAAGACTGGTGCCAGCGCCTATGGAAGAAAACACTGTCGTAAGAACCTCTCAATTTAGGGATGAGACAGCTATGCAATTTGAATCATTATTCTCAGGTAAAATCATTATCTGGTTGTAGACTTAATTAGGAAGCTTAAACAAGATTTGGTTCCGCATCAGTCTAAACTGCATGTATACCACACTAATTGCTTACACTCTGTATATGCATATTTATTTCTTTTGTACTAATAAGTATCTGAAGTCAAATCTAAAGCATTTAATTTAAGCAGAAGTTATAATTAAACCTGCTTTTGGCATCGCAACTAAGGATCTGTTCGTTACAGGTATTTTATGGCTCAACTATTTTTTTTTAAATATGAATTTATAACAGGTCTTTAAAGAATGTAGTTTTATCAAGAAATGTCTGCTTGAGGCCCTTGGACCTCATACTTAATACATACCAAACAATCTAGATGGACCAAATGGAATTTTAATTCTGCAATCCAAAAATTATTATACAAAATAAAACCCAGTCCAAATGGGAACATATTTTTATTGCTATCAACAATTTGAGAGGAGTTGATAAAACATGATGTACAGTACCTCACTATGTGACAGCTGAGCACATAAAGCATTAAGCAGTGTGGAGCAGTGGCTAGGGTTCTTGACTCACAGTTAAACCCCAGATGGGCACTGCTATTCTACTGTATCTATGAGCAAACTGGAATTGCTTAATTAAATTAAAGTACTTACCGTAGCAGTATACACTAAATGGGTGAAAATGAAGTCCCTTTGGATAAAAGGAGGAGCCAAATAGGGTAAGTTTGTAATTCCTTTTCAGTCAAAACAATCACATGGTCATTCTGAATGTTTTGTACCATTCTTAATAGTACACAGATTGAAAGATATTCTTGCTTAATATCTTTGATATATTCACCCAGGTTTAAATAACTGTTAGTAAAATGGCATTTTACACCATGTCCATACAGTAAATTATGTTTTAGGAGGAATGTGCTTGTCAGGGTAAATGCATCATCGTCAAAACAAATGTTAAGCATGGGTTTCATCTGCTGTTGCTGTTGAGTATGATTATTCTGGAAAAAAAACAGATGTACAGAAAAATCGCAGAAGATAAGATTCTGTGTTATTTGTTACTTTGATCTTTGAATAAAGAAAAGTTGTTTTCCAAACATATCTTGTAATTTGCCAGATTGGTTTTAACTTTCACTGGCCTATACCTCAGACTCAGTGCTCTGAATTGTGCTCCATACTGTATATATTTGCTGTTGTTTCATTACATATGTACTGTATATGCATCAAATTCTGTCTGTAATAATTTACCAATTACAAAAATGGAGTTGGGTTAGAAGCTTAGAAAATGCAGTTTCATTGCCCTGATCACATACAGTAGATAAGATTGTTTGTCAACTACATTAGTAGTGCATTCGTCAGCTTTGTTTATAATCCATTTTGTAAATGACTGACACACAATAGGCTTATTTGTGTTTTAAAAAATAACAAAAACTTATTAAATGTCTTTTGTGTGAGTGTGTCCTATTCAGTACTTATTTAAGAGCCATTTCTCAGGTTATTGGCAATTGTATTCAGGAAAATGTATTTTCATTTATAGTAGAGAACTCCTTTATTGTCACAATTGCTGACTTAACAGTTAAAGGGTGCAGGTACAGGCAATGCATTGTGATTAATGTCCCAGATTGTCTGCCTACTTCGTCTACAGGAATCACAATGTTAATAAGCCGTTAGAGCCAAAAATAATTTGAATGGACCCTAGAAGAAGGTTGTCCAACCAATTTGGTAGCTTCATCAAATATGACTAAACTAATTGTCAGTTTTTCTGCAGTGAGGATAACAAGGCACTCAATTAGTTATTCTCTGTGAGCATGCACTACACTGTGTACAGACATCCACACAGATAAGGGAAGAATAGTACAGCTGAATAATTTGAAGAAACAAAGTCTGTGTTTTTTCCTTAAAATAAACATCTCTTATAGCACCATAAAAATAAACTGCAAGAAACTGTTCGGCCATTATTAGATAAGTATTTTAATTTTCACATAAGGATGAGGGAACAAACACAGCTGTCTGCATGAAGGCAGGGCTTGTGCTGTTTAAGTTGAAAGCCGCAATATGACCTACAGTGCAGTCTGACCTGAAATAAATTGTGATATGAATAGAAAATGCTTGGTGTTAAGGCTTCCTGATGAGAAGCTCTGACTTGAAGCCACCCTGTAGTGAGGAGTATACTGTAGTGTGCTGCTTTAGTTAAATAAAATGGAAGAAAGCCATTAAGTATTCCGTAGGAGAGCAGACAGGACTTTTAAAGACTTTTTTCATTCGCTAGACATCTCTTGAAAGCTTCGTTATCTTGTCTACTGAAACCCCTAAGTCCCAATTGAATATTCCGATTTGTTCCTCTGCCTTCTTTATTTCTGCTTCTCTCCAGTGGATTCCTTGCAAGGCAGACAGGGTGTATCCCTCAGGGTCCCTTTGCCAGCCACGTCGTTGCATCATGCGCCGCGAATTAGCAAGAGGAGTGTTGAGCATGAAAAACAAAACAGCACAAATTTCACAAGGGTACCAAAAACATACCTGGCAATGGTGATGTCAGTTATAGCATTCATTATTTCAGCCAAACAGATCACTTTACGAAACACTTAACCATCAGACAAAGCAGAATATAATGAACTGTGTGTACACCCCTGCAGCATCATTTACTTATTTCTGGCTGTGAACCAGAATGAGCAGTTTACACTCTTCTTGTAGGCTGTTGCATGAACCTAAATAATAATAATAATAATAATAATAATAATAATAATTGCTTACACTTACTGTATGTAGTGCTTTTCTGGACAATCCACTCAAAGCGCTTTACAGGTAATGGGGACTCCCCTCCACGACCACCAATGTGCAGCTCCACCTGGATGATGCGATGGCAGCCATAGTGCGCCAGAACACTCACCACACATCAGCTATCAGTGGGGAGGAGAACAGAGTGATAAAGCCAATTCATAGATGGGGATTATTAGGAGGCCATGCTTGGTAAGGACCAATGAGAAATTTGGCCAGGACTAATAGGGGTTACACCCCTACTCTTTTCAAGAAATGCCCTAGGATTTTTTAAATTACCACAGAGAGTCAGGACCTCAGTTTTATGTCTCATCCAAAGAATGGCACCTTTTTACAGTATAGTGTCCCCATCACTGTTCTGGGGTATTAGGACCCACACAGACCGCAGGGTGAGCGCCCCCTGCTGGCCCCACTAACACCTCTTCCAGCAGCAACCTTAGTTTTTCCCAGGAGGTCTCCCATCCAGGT